GGCTTTCCAGAGACAAGTCCCTACTTGGGAGCGGCTACGTATGCTGTGTTTTTGGCAAATTGTAGTCGGTGAGTTTACTATTTTATACTACTTCTGTGATATTACTACTACTTCTACTTCCTGTTATCTTCTTCATCATCGTCTTTTTCACCAGTAGAAACAGGCGGTTGTTGATCACGTGACTTCCGTGATGCGAAAAAAGTGTTTCCATTGCAGTTTTGCGAAAAACACCAATTTTGATACAGCCGAAAAACCACCTCATCCTAGTGCAAAAACATTTTGTCAAAAAACATAATTTTTTTGAAATTGACCTGTTTCCATTGAGCAAATATATTTTTGAAAGTCTAATTTGTGCATTTTCATGGTCAATGGAAACACAGCTAATGTTACCTTTCCAAAAATGCATTCATGTTTATTACAAAAATTTGATGTAACAGGCACTTTAAATGTCAAAAAGAAGGACTTAAACGCAGAATATGACAACTTTAAAAATATTTAATTTGGTATTTTGGATACAACAAATGCTCAATTAATTATAACAACCAGTCATTGGAGTAGGTAGCACAATATAGAGATTAAATGAGGGTTTATGGCCACACATTATGGGACTCACTCTCGTTACAGTTGTCTTATCTGTGCAGGGGAAAATTAGGATTTGTTTCCATGTTCAATGGAAGTAACTGCTTTGGGTCTTTAACTATATCAGACTTTTATAACAAGACAGAATCTTACCAGTCTTATCCTAAACCTAAAAAATTATGATCAACAAAATAAAAGCATAAAAATAAAAACTGGCATGTAGGCATGTAAACACATGTAAAAACATGAATTTAATAGTTACCTCCAAGTGTTGTAGAAAAGCAAGGGGATGTTAAGGCCCACAGTGAGCCACTCCTGGGCACACAGGAACATTATGCAGAACAGACCATGGATGGAGTACTCTGGCAGCACCAACTGAAAGGCACAAACAGAAGGAACAGTTTTAGTTTATTTATAAAGGAAATCTTTTTATAGGAACAGTTGTTTTCCATTGTTTGTCTCTTTGACTTTGGTCAAACAAGCCACCAAGATGGTATTGGTGTGTGTTTCTTGTCATCTGTCTGTGTACAGATTGTTTGTTTTAGCTCTATTTTGTACATTTACTGAAAAACTGAAACTACTGCTGTAACTATTGCCAAGCACTTACAGATATTCTACTTGCTACTCAAAATGTGACACATACATTTTACACCCCTCTACTTATTTAGGAATTTCATCATCACAGTCAATTTAATTAATCATTTTTCTGCATCTCAAAATAATTTCTGACCGTGCAGAGAGGAGAATCTCACATGCACAAGTCTCTCACGTTTTGACCTGAGCTTGGAGTGAGATTTCGAGCTGCTGAACACTGTTGCCAACTCCTCAGTAAGAAAAGTTGCTTTTGTCGTCCTAAAAGCTGCTAAATAACATGATCGTCCAATTTACATATTTGGGTTTTTGCCAAAAATTGTGGTCAGGGCTGTATGGTATTTAATGTAGGAAAAAACAGTGTTTAAAATCACTCTGGTGGGGGGTTTGGGGGTCCTCCCCCAGAAAATTTTGAATGAAGTAGATGCCATTTCCTGCATTCTGGTGTATTTTAACAGGTTGTTAAACAGATTTTTACACATGTAAACACTTGTTGAGTATTCCATAGATCAAGTGGAAGGGGTTCTCAAACATTTTGGGTCTGGGGACCCCTTACAAGAGTGAAAAATTTTCATGGACCCCCTCATAAAACCCATGCTGTTTTAAAAATAATTTACTGTCATTTTAATCCCTGACGTCATTTGCTGTCATTTGTTGCTGCGGCTTCAGGAGTAGACTAGCTGAGAGTATTTATTTATTTATTTATTTATTTATTTATTTATTTATTTATTTATTTATTAAAAACAAAAGACCATTTAAAAATCAAAGTCAATTATTGGATGAAAACGGGTAAAAAAGAAGAAGAAAAAATATATCTGCCCCTTTTAAAAAACTTTCTCCAAGCACTAACATCATGTAAGGTCTTTGTTCTAATTTTTGACCTGCAGCCCTGCTTTAAAAATAGCCAGGTTATCCCTTTATTTAACATCATTCTGATGCTGATCCAACTCTTTGCAGGTGATGTGTGCACATGCAGCGTATCCTCGTGAGATTTTTTTTAAATCTATGATAAAAACATCATTCGTATGCAGAACAGGTGGAAAGGTTTGGTCTGAACTGGGGTCTTGTCTCACGCTGCTGCAACTTTTTTATAACATCGTGCAGCGCGGATGGGTGATTGACAGGAGTGATCGGCTCTGACTGCAGCATGCACGTGTGCAGGACTCCCATATGCAGGAATAAAAACACAAAAATAGGCAGAGATGGATTTTTTAGGCAAAGTGAGTGGTTCATCTGACCAGGTCTGTCCAACCAGAGAGATAAACATTGAGCTGCACATTCGATCTTTATCAAAAATATATGTGTGTGCGCATTTGTGCACGTGTGTGTTTTAGAGTGAGAAATGCAAAGTGTGGCGTGTGCACGTCCTGAAATGCGTGTGTCTTACGGTCAATGCGTGAGACTTGAGAGCCCTGCATGCAGGACATTTTTGTGTCTGTTTCCATATTAGAATGTGAGTGTGTCAGGGGAGGAGTAGGACCCACACTTCTCTTTGTTTCTTGGGATGTATGAGGGAAAAGAGCACAGAAACCGGCATGTGCACAGTTTAATAAGTCTGAAAATTTCTGTGCATATGTATTCTCCTTATTTTGCCCCTACATCAACTTTCATTTTGAAAATTAAATGAGGCCCCAGGTCAGTTTATTGACCAATGACATATTAATTAATTTATTCACCATTTTTATTAAGAACTTAACACTGAGGTAGAACCCATTCAATTACAGGAAGTGAACATTTACAAAATGAGGAAGAGACAAATTTGTCTTTAATATTTCATTACAAAAATCATTTGAATCAAAAATATAATAATCAATAACTGAATTGAGAACACTGTAAAAGATTTAAGAGACTTTAAACCACTTGTCAACAGTCACAGCCCAGTAAAGTGCTACCTTAAGGGGGTAGTGGTCACCTTAAGGAGGAATAAACAGTTCCACCTCTCTTTGACACTGGTCTCAGAAGACCTCCCTCAAAGAGACATTTTATTTTCCTTAATCAAGATAATAAACAAACTAATAATGTTCTTTATATTTTTGATTTATATTTTCTTTTAACTGAGTTATTGCAATTTGATAAATCAAAGAAATGATATCAAAGTTACATAATGAAAAGAATGACAGCCTATCGTCTTGCATTATAATTTAGAAAAAAGAAAAAAAAACACAAAAAGAACATTGTTCCAATGTTTTTTTTATGCAAATCTTTGTTTTACTTAACTGTTATCCGACAGTAATGTGATGGTGTTTCTCTGTTTTTATTTCTTCTTTAACTAAATTGATCACTATACAGTAGTTTAGTTTACTATGTTTTACTATGAAATACAAATAGTCATTTGTGCCTGAATCTTAGACAACGATCTTGTTTTATTTTAGTTTAAATAATTCACTTCTCAGTATTTCAGCAAAAACCTAGTTCCTTGTCATTTAGTATTAGTCCTGCCAAAGGACTGAGAACAGCATGGCCTGACCTTGTTTTGTCTACATTAAAGTGTAGATATTCACAATTTTGTTTACCAGACTTATGGCAACGGTATTTTCTTAGACTAAACTTCTAATCCACCTGTTTTCTGACCCCTAAAGTAGAGGGTGTGTCCTTATTAACTTTTTCTGTAGTAACTAACTCAGGGAAAACACTCCTCAGACACCATCTCCATTACCAAATGAAGAAAAGCTGTTTTTTTACGCAGAGGAATCAGCGCTTTGCGATAAGATCTGAACTGAGGTGCCAATGAGCAGATCTTAGCCGCAAGCTCATGATACCATCAGTCATGACCAAACAACCAGCTCAAACTATTTGATTACCCAAGAATTTGCTGGAATGGTAATGGGTGTAACATGAGGCATCTGGTTTTCAAACATCTCTCATTCTACTAGACCAGGGGTACCCAAATGTTTGCCCCAAGAGGGCCAAAATGAAAATCTGTCCAAGGGCTGTGTACCAAATTTAATAACATAAAACCTGAAATGCAAATACCTTTTTAAGTAAAGTCATTTTCTCATGATTAGGCAAGCAGCCAGTGCAGTGTCTCACAATTCAGTGCACTTGGAGCAATGTACCCTCAGGCAGCAAAGGCTCAGTCATCAGACTGAGAAATGTGTCTCTTTTTTGTGCACATTTCGTGGTAAATCCAGATTCAGCATAGACATTTTGGTTAGACGATTTCCATCCAATTTGTCATCTTCTTTCAAGATTGGCAAGAATGGGGCATGGGGGGTAACAGGTCCCAGGGGTAAACCAAATCAACCCTTACTCCAGATCCCCCTGGAGGATCCCAACAGTTTCCCAAGCCACAGAGAATATATAATAGAACCCTAGGTTATCTTCACAGTTTGACAAGTCTGGAAAAACTCCAGAGGGAGGCATCCTAATCACACATCCAAATGACATGAGATGACTCCTTTCAATGCCTAGGATCAGTATATCTACCGGTACTCGGAGCTCCCCCAGAGATTATCTTCCTACATCTCAGGCTGAGTCCAGGAAGTCCTGGGATCCTGTGCTCTTGATCATGATCTGTACCTCATAAAATCGACTCACGGCTTGTTCAGACTTAAGTTATGTAAATGCACATTTAGGCTGTTTAGGTGATCATATCCTGCATAAATTGGGTACACAAGGGCAAAACAAGGTTTAAATTCTGCTAAAGATAATCAGGACTACATGCTGTCTACAACTAGACTACAATCATCTTTCCACTAAGAAGGCAAAGCAGAAAAATTAAATAAGCACAAGTTTTGTTGCAACATGATGCTATGTAGACAATATTTTTCTAAAACCAATATGGTACTGGGCTTGGGTTATAAGACCAGTTGCACACCCAAATTTGCAAGAAACTAAGCAGATTTTTAGTGTTTGTGACCAGCGGGCAATGCCGCTTCATTTTGAACAGCCTATTTTTGAAACACATCACCATTATCGCTGCATATTGTTGAGAATGTGTTTTGTCTGTTTTGTTCATGTCGCTCTCGTGTGTCTTCTCAGTGTAYTTACCACTCATCCTTCCTCAGTCTGTTTTCTACGTCACTCATTGTATTGTAAGAAAATATGTGTTGTTCAAAATGGTATGTCCGCATGAACAGGATTCAGCTGGATTTCTTGTTAAAAACTTTATTTTCAGTCCTCTGACTCCAATCAGGTTCATTCAGCTCTCAGCAGCACAGGCCTCAGTGTACAACCTTGGGCCAAACCAAAACAAACACGGGAGCTCTGCTCTGAGAAGACACTCTGCACAACACTGACAACTTCTTTCTACTATAATAATGAATTGAGCTTATAATGTTCATCCCTTCCTGGTTACACCCCAGAGGTGTTACCTTTTACGTCAGAATGTCACTCAGTTTTGTTTAGGCTAAGAGAAAGAACACATGATAACACACATACACCAACTCTTTGTCTGTTTTAACCTTACAGACTGAAACGATCAGAAAGTATAAAATAAAAAAAAACTGTATCTAATATTCAATTAATCAGTTACAAAATTTCTTCAATCCCTCTCTTGACATATATAAAATATGTCAAAACTATAAGAAATTTTATGAAAACTTTATAAAGAGAAGTTATAACATCTGTTGTCACATCAGGATATTTCTTTTTTTTTTATTGATGGCCTCCCTTCTCCCCCTATAGCCATCCTCTCCTCACCATTATTATGTTTTTTTTTAATATGAGAAAAAGAAGAAAAAAGAAAAAAGTGAAATGCGATGAGAGAGTGAAAAAGAGATTAGAAGATATGTAAAATAT